CTCTTCTGCCCACCCCTCTCCCTCCTCCCCTCCACCCCGCTCTGCTACCCACTCCTCTCCATCCTCCCCTCCACCCATCCTCCCCTCCACCCTGCTCCACTGCCCACCCTCTCCATCCTCCCCTCCACCCCCAGCTAAGAGCTGTTTGCTCCGTGAGGCCATCCCTGGCCTCTGTCATACTCCCCTCCCCGCCCTCCCGTGACACAGCTTGTCTGGTCACCGTGTCTCTCTCCACGCTAGGTAGCCGTTGTGCTGAGCACTTTGTCCTGGGGCCAGCAGGCTGGTGAGTGGCGGGGCCGCACCCCCCAGACCCTCACTGGCCATCTGCTCACCTGCCCACTCTGGTGTGTGGCATGTGGCAGGTGCTCACACAGACCGGCCGTGCAGGGCTTGGCTAACACCGCAGGCTTGAGGCAGACTCTGCAGAGACGCCCGGGCACCACCAGATGGCGCCGACGCTTATATCCCCCACAGCACTGCCCAGAGACCGCAATTCCTCCTAGACCTGCTGTCATTGGGGGGTCAGGGGTGGGGCGGGGGGAGAGGAGTTGCTGTTCAACCCTCCATGGAGGCCTAACTCCGTTTCCTGCACCTCATGTCTTATCCCAGGTGACTGCGTAAGATCAACACAGGACACCCAGGCTTCCATAAACCCGTGAACGTGGTTCTCGAAACGGCCAGTGCCCAGAGCATAGAAACAGGAGAGAGACAGAGCAGGAGACATTTTTGCGGCTTTGTAAGACATTTGGCTATGAGATCACAGGGAATTCCGCACAGCAGTCAGAGCAGAGGCGAGTCATTTCCTCACCGGGCAGGTACCGAGAGTGCTTCAAGTAGTGTAGCTTGGCTGCGGACCTCAGGGTGGGCGTGTCTCTCCTGGGATGTGAAGGCTGGGTGGGGGCGCTACTGCCGGTACCCACAGGCTCAGAGGGCTTCAGGTCCAGAACACTCTCAAATCTGTGTCAAGAGAACATGGTCTAAGTGGGCAGGACAGAGAGAGAGAGAGAGAGAGAGCGAGAGAGCGAGCCAGCGCACACTATGGGACAGACCCGGAGACTCGGCAGGCCCCAGCGTGACCCTCACACTCACCTGCAGAGAGTCTCATCGCTCTGCCTCTTCTTGCTTCTCTGGTCAGTCCTGGTGAGGGGTGAGGTGAAATCCAGGCTGTCCAAGTCAGCCCACTCATCGGAACCCTTTGTCGACCTGGAAATGAGCCCCCACCGCCTCCGGCTCTTTGGCTTGATCTCCTCGCTCCTGTGCTCCGGGCCGGCTAGGATTTTCTATGTGGACGAGCAGAGGGGGGGTGGGGGGGAAGCACTGTGTGGCGTTACTGGAATCGTGCATGGGTAGCTCTTACTCCGATTCCCTCTGTTATAATAAGGAGCACCGCTTACTTGAAGGGTCCTTGAGGACCACCACCCCAGGTCTTCCATCTCACCTATCTCTCGCTCGCTCTCTCTCCCCCCAGCTCCACCCGTGAACAAGCACAGGATTTCCACTGAGACAACAGAGGCGCAAGAGCTCACGGCCAAGGGGTCAGCCACCTTGCTCTTTTACAAACACCAATGCCCCTAATGCTTCCTTTGGCTGCTCAACGCACCTGCGAATGAATGCTGAACTTACAGAATTCGCTACAATGGGAAATCTCCAAACCATGCCACTCCCAAACTCTGAGTGGTGCAACGTGCCCAAAGATACCAGCACCTTGAGTGCTGGCAGGCCCCTTACAGTCCCAGTATACCTCCAGTAAGACGAGCTGGGAGGAGAGGTACCTCTCGTATAAAAGGGTTAGAACGCTGGGCTTTGACAGCATTAAAAAGCTGGTGACATGGGCTGGGAAGGTGGCTCAGTGGTAGAGCGCTTGCCTTGCATGCATGAGGCCCTGGGTTCCATTCCTCAGCACCACATAAGCAAAAAGAAAAAAGCTGGAAGTGGCGCTGTGGCTCAAGTGGTAGAGCGCTAGCCTTGAGCGGAAAGAGCTGAGGGACAGCACCCAGGCCCAGAGTTCAAGCCCCACGACCGGACCCCCAAAAAAACAACAAAAAAATCTGGTGACAGCCGGGTGCTGGTGGCTCACGCCTATAATCCTAACTACTCAGGAGGCTGAGATCTGAGGATTGTGGTTCAAAGCCAGCTCAGGCAGGATAGTCCATGAGACTCTTATCTCCAATAAACCACTAGAAAACTGGAAGTGGCGCTGTGGCTCCAGCGGTAGAGCCCTTGCCTTGAGCTGAAGGGCGCAGGGATAGGGCCCAAGCTCTGAGTTCAAGCCCCACGACCGACAAAAAAAAAAAAAAAAAGCTGGTGATAACTACCGTTCCTTCTCATGTTACCTTTTTACTGAATCTAACACTTGCAAATCAGGTGGAGAAAACAGACTTGGGCTTCACTAAAAGTCCACAGCGACAACCTGAGGTGAAGCAGTACTAGGAATGAAAGCCGGCAAGTGTCTGCGGGCTCCCGATGGTTTCAGCACATCTCTCTCAGCACCACACGTGAGCTCAGTACTGTCCAGAGGCCAAAACGTGCATCATGACCTTCCTTTTATAGACAAGGTAAGTTTCCACAGGGACTCATAATATCAATGACGAACACTTACTGAGTTGGTTTTCTTCTTTTTTGTATATGTGTGTCAATCCTGGGGCTTGAACTCAGGGCCTGGGCACTGTCTCTGAGCTTTTATACTCAAGGCTAGTGATCTACCACTTGAGACACAGCTCCAGTGGCAGCCTTGTTTGTGCTTCATTGAAGAGCCTCACAGACTTTCCTGCCCAGGCTGGCTTCCAATCATGATCCTCAGATCTCAGCCTTCTGAATAGTTAGGATGACAGGTATGAGCCGCTGCTACCTGGCTGTTAGTGAGTTCTCATTGTGTACTGGACACTAATGTACTGTCAGGTATTAAGTGGAACACCTGCCCCAGGTAGATGCTGTTAGCAGCCTTGCTTCATGGACAAGAGCGTTAAGATTTAGAAGCCATGCACATGCTCAGGTCACCAAGCTGTCACCTGGCAGAGCCTGTGCATACAGCTCACCGCCCCAGCCTCCTACCGCCCCAGCAACAGAACCTTGCTTATCATGAGCAAAGCTAGAACTTACAACGTAGGACCCCAAACCGAGAGACTTTTCACAGTTCCAATGCCACGGTAGCAGTGAGCATATTACATTAGACCTCACAGACTGAAAAGGGAAGGACTTCATTTCATCTTATTTGTCAGAGGACAAGTAAGACGGGCACAGAGCACAGCCCCCTGGCAAATCCTCACTGCTTACTGGCGGAGGATTCTTGTTGTGGAGGGATGGGAAGAGCAGTGGGCTCGGGTGGTCTGTCCGGGAGGCTTCGGCTTTGTAGGGGTACACGAGGCACTGGGGGGCCGGGTTGGCTTGATGTGGCCGAGAAGAGACCCTGGCGTGCGGCTTGGCCGGGGGCTGGGCAGGAGGGACGGGCTTGATGTGAGCAGGGGGCCCGGCCTTCTCCAGGATGTCCTTCTGTGGCTTTCCTGAATCCTGGAGTCTTTGAGTGGGAGTGCCCAGTGGGTGTCCAATCTGGAAGTAAGCATAGCGAAGTGCCTGGAAGGAGAAAAGTCGAGCCAGCAGAAATCACTCAGACTTTCAGGGAGTCCATTTTCTCATGGATGCAACTGAAAAGAAAATCTGTTTCATGGAATCTTCATCGAGCTAAAAATTAAAAAAATCACATACATAGCTGGGTGCTGGTGACTCACTGTAATCCTAACTACTCAGGAGGCTGAGATCTGAGGATCGTGATTGAATGCCAGCCTGGGCAGAAAAGTCTGTGGGGCTCTGATCTCCAATTAACCACCAGAAAACCCTGAAGTAGAGTTGTGGCTTAAGTGGTATAGTGCTAGCCTTGACCAAAAAAGCTCAAAGACAGTGCCCAGGCTCTGAATTTAAGCCCCAGGACTGGCACCAAAACACAAATAAACAAACAAAAATCACATAAATATACTAAAGCATTTACAAAACGTAAATTAAAAATGCATTAAAATGACAAGGGCAGTGTTAGCACGAGTCTACCTCACAGCAATCCCCACCGTCATCTTCCAGCTGAATGAGTCTGGCTTTGCCAAGTGTGAAGTTACAACTGACTACACGGTCTTAAGTGATAGAGCAGATATCTGAAACTAGTCTCCGAAACCAGAGACACATATCTATTTTCATTCCCACCCCTGCTACTGAGAGTATTCAGACTTTATGCTGATAGTCAAAGCAATTACACTGCTTGACCTGGACTCCTTTGATTAGACACAGGAGGTTTCAAATAACTTCAAGCTCTCCTGTCACACACCACACCATGAGTGGCATTCAGTACTATCACCCATGAAACGATTCAGTCAGATCAAAACCTGGGAGGAAACGCGTTCGTGAAGAACGCAGCGGACAACCTGGCTGGCGGTCGGCCGCTTCCTGGGGTCCCACTGCAGCATGTCTCTGAGGAGCTGAATGGCTTCGCTGCTGGCGTTGGGAATCAGGGTCTTTAGGTTGCTGGGCACGCACTGGGGCCAGCGGAAGTTCATCGCGCTTGAAAGCTGGTGGCCTTCAGGCCAGTCAGTCTGAAAGAAGGAAAAGACAGAAAACCTCGCTCGACCAGTTGCTACGACTTGGGTTTGTCTTCTTCTATGTGTGCCCATAATCAAGAGGCAGAGTTCCCCGCATGGGCGGCAGAGGTGATGGGTGGTCCTCATGAAGCAACTATAGGGAACAGAAAATCTAAGAAACATTAGGAAAGATCCAGAATCACAACCTTCATCGAGAGCAGTCCATCTCTTGAGACTGGGATGGCACCAAATTAGTATTTTGCCAAGTAGGTTCCAAGACACAAAAATACCTATACAGACAACTGTCTTCATAACACAAAACACAGCTGAAGAGGGAGAGGACACTAGGGAAGGAGTGAGGAGGGAGGGCCATGGAGAAACAGAGGGGTCTGGCTACCAGAGACACCCAGCCATGGCGGAGGGGGCACGGGCCCCACAGAACACAGAAGTGGGGGTCCTTCCAGCAAACAACCAGGGATGCAAAGAGGGGCTGAGGATGAGCTGAGGGGTGGGCAGTGGAGAGCAAACGAGTATTTTTTAGGCGAGAAGGACAGTAACTAAGCCATCCTTTTGAAGGATGGATCTGGACACAGACTCCACGAGATGCTAGAGGGAAGACGCTGGAAGGCAGAAGGATTCTAGAACAGGCACAAGGCTGGGGAGTATTGCCCCGCCCCTGGGGAAGGGACAGTGGGAAGCTGCTGGCTTTGGCCCAGGGGACTCTGCTCCACAGCATTACCTTCTTGGGTGTCCCCAACACTTGGCAAATCTTGAAAATTGTGTCGATTTCACTGGCCCCAGGGAAGAGCGGCCTGAGCATGTACACCTCTGCCATGATGCACCCCACGGCCCACACGTCAATGGGGGAGCTGTAGCTGGTGGACCTCAGCAGCACCTCCGGCGCTCGGTACCTGGAGCGACAAAGCCAGCTGCCAGCTCGGCTCACACGCCAGAGGCCAGCTCGGTCAGGAGCTGAGCCTGGGGAACCCCAGGGCAGCACGCTGTCTTGGTCAGGTAGACTCAGGACTCAGCACGTGCCGGCTCCTGTGGAGAAGCAATGCTTCCCACTTCAGGATTTTCCATTAAACAGTTCCTCATAGGAGTCTTTCCTATAGTACTTGTGAGAGATAGAGAGTGACAGAGAAGAGAGGAAAAGAGAGAGGGAGGAAGGGAGGGGGAGGGAGAGAGGATGGAGGAAGGAGAGGGGGAGAGAAGGGAAGAGAGGAAACAACGTAAAACTCCTACGAGGCTCACCTCCAGGTATGGCAAACTATAAATCATTTCCAAGTTTTGACAGGAGCAATTACACGGGTTTTTCAAACAAGCCTGTGGAGAATCTCTTGCATAACTCTCCTGGCACAGGATCCGGGGGAGGCCTACGCACAACACTCATTTATACTGAGGAGAGGTATGACGGGTTCCTTTTAAGATCATTTGACACTGGCTTTCCCCCATGTGGTGCCAACGCACCTACTGCCTCGGGTGCCGGTGGCTGCTATGGCCCTCCTTGGGATGGCATCTCTCTAACGAATACCTAAATCACTGTAAGGGTGAGAACACTCACCATCGAGTAGAGACGTAGTCTGTGTAGGGCGGTCTGGACCGGATCTCTCGAGCCAGCCCGAAGTCTGCGATCTTCACGAGTTCCGGGCCCATGCACAGGAGGTTCTCAGGCTTCAGGTCCCGATGGAAGAAGCCTGTGGAGACAAGGAACCCCAAATCCAAGCTTGCTCTGAGCATCCTCATCACTGCATCTGCTCCACTCATAGCAGCTGTGACGTAAGAGCTGTGTGCTGTGACACCACAGCCATGCACTCATCCCTCAGACCGCGTGCGGCTCTCCAGACTTCTCACAAGTTGACCTCAAGCCAGGCTGTGTGGCTCACACCTGTAACCTTAACCACTTAAAGGCTGAGACATGAGGACCCTTGTCCAAAGCCAGCATGGGCAAGAAAGTCCATGAGATTAAGTTCCAATTAACCAGCAAAAAGCCAGATGTGGAAGTGTGGCTCAAGTGGTAGAGCACCAGCCTTGAGCACAAAAGCCCAGGGCCAGTACCCAGGGCTTGAGTTCAAGCCCTCAGGACCTGTACACACACACACACACACACACACACACACAAAACTAGGGCTGGTGAGGCTAGTGACATAACCCAAGTGTGAAGAGGTGATGCTAAAACTCGGCTCTCTCTCATCTGGGCACATGCTCCCTCTCGGTGCCGCATGGCTGTGACAATAGCCCGTGTTTCTCTGGGCCCCTGAAGGACAATGGAAATCCTTTAGCTGCATCACTCAAGAGATCATGGAAAGGCAGAGCATTGTTAGGATAAGAAACACCCAGCTCAGAATGGCCTGGCCTCCAGAAGGCAGGGAGTGACCTTCAGTCTTCGCTGAACAGCTTGCTGTGCTCACTTATTTTGTTACCAACCACTGGGCAAGAAACACGTCACAGGCCACGGGGAGGCCCTTTCTCCTTCCCCACACTCTTCCTGACAATCTCACTGAACATGTGGAAATGGGCAGAGCATGCTTAACTAAAGCAGGTTTAGGGAGCAGGCCTTCCTGTGTAGACACTGTGATTTCAGACAATACTGGATTTAAGCCTACAGTGTTTTTATCCAAAAAAGCCCATAGTAACAGTGAGGCACAGACAGGTAAAGGATGCTCAAGGCCAGGCACCTAGAGAAGGTAGCTGAATATGGCACCGGGGACTTCTTAGGGGGAACAAAAACTGTCCTCCAAAGCACCTGCCGCCATGGGCCACCGTTCAGGGTTGGCGTGGCCCGAATGTGCACAGGGGCGGCTCGGGGACAAGACAGACCATTTGCAGAGGTTACTGGATTCCTGGGAAGTGCATGTGCTTTGGCACTGCTCAGTCAGTACCCAGGAGAGGCATGTGTTTGTCCCCTGTGGGGGAAATACTGAGAGACGTGAAATTCAGCCATAGCAACCACCTGCAGGCTGCTTCCCTCCCTCAGGAGGTGACTCCCCGGGGCAGAACATACCCACAGTGAGAGTGTGCTCCCAGGAACGGCCCGTGACGCACAGGCCAGCTCTGTGGACCGCTTCACACACACACACACACACACACGCGCATGCACACATGCACGCGCACACACACACGTGCACGCACATGCACGCGCACGCACACATGTGCACGCATGCACGTGCACGCACACACACACGCACACACACGAATGTATGTGTACTTTTATATATAGGAATATATTAATATATTTATACATTCATATTATATATGTACTTATATACAAATATATACGAATATGTACGTATATATTCCTTCCTTCCTTCCATTACTGGAGAAAAAGAATAACAACAGAGAGGCACTTGACCCAAGTCAGGTCAATACCAAATAAAACCCGCTCGTTTCTAACAGTCCTTTATCAGTGGATATGGGATCCACACATTTAGTGTCCATTGCACGTACAATCATCCATTTTCTTCATCTTGGATTCCCCCGTTCTCTTGCAGGACAGACTTTTTCTAGCAAAGTGTGGCCTGAGCTAATGGGCTGTCCAAACAACGCGTGCCACCCTTACTGTGGGGGGCCCTCTGAACTTCCATTTCTTCTCGGACAGGAATAGATGCCCTCTGCTCCCGCTGCCCAAGAAGCTGAGCGTCACAGGATCTGTGGATTCTCCTGCCCCTGGCTTGACGTTTTAATCTATTTTGTGGTCTCATACTGCACAAATCTTCTTAGGCTACTTCTAAGCTCTTGTGAAACAAACTGAAATACAAAAACCTTAGAAAATGTGAAGTGGCAGTGAACAGGTGTCAGTGGGTAATTCTCATTTTCACTCTCATTAATATATCAGGTAACAGTCAGGAATAAATCTTACATCTACCACGAACAAGCTTGAAGAATGGAAACAGGACATGATAAGTAAAGTCCAGAAATCAAGCTCCAAAAGACAATGTATTTCAAAGTCCATTGTCCTGACACCCCTCCATTCTTCAGCCTTTCTGAGAGTTAGTTATGGCAGAGAGTAAAGCTTTCTACTCTGAGGTGTGGTGACACCGCACTGCTACTCAGAAGTACAAGACCCCAAATCACCCACCATGCTTGTGAATGAATGCGAGGCCTTGCAGTATCTGGTACATAATATTCCTTACAGCCGACTCCGGGAACAGCTTATTTCTACATAGGAAAGAGAAAAACAAAGCTATTAATGTGAGTCTATGTATTACTAGGATTCTCCTGTGTTCTTCTGGTTACATCATAAGAAACAAAGGGAAAATTTTGCTCATATGTATTTTTTTTACCAGATCCTTTGATAAGAAAGACAAAGGAAAACAATCATTTGTCCATACAGAGGACCTAACTGAAAAATGCCAAATATATTCAATTATATTACAAAGAAAAGATCAAACCTTTTATAATAAACAAAATTTCCCCTAACATAATTGAGAAAATCTATGATCAAGCTGGGTATAGCAATCTGTATTCTCAGTACTTAGGAGATAGATGCAGGAAGATCTCAAGTCTGGGGGTAACCTGGGTTACATGCCTCAAAAGTAAATAAACAAATAAATCTCCAGATATAAGCTGTGATTTTAAAGATGTTTAGTGGGGAAGGTTTTTTATTTATTAATTTTTAAATTTTGTGTGTGTGTGTGTGCGCGCGTGCGCGTGGGCTTGGACTAGGGCTTGGACTCAGAGCTTGGGCACTATCTTGCAGACTTTTCTGCCCTGCTGGGGTAGGCTTGGAACCTTGATCCTCAGATCTCAGCCTCCTAAATGGCTCAGATTGCAAGTATGAGCCACAAGGGCCTGTCTTCAAAGTCGAAGCCTTTATAAGACACGATAGGTGTTATTGTTTAGCTCCTGCTTAAGCAAGCTGTTGCGCACCAATGCTGGTACTGACAGTGCAGATGGCATTTGTTCACTCCAGTCACCCAGAAATCCTATCCAAGGCATCTGCTTTCCCACCAAGAAAATGTGTCCAGGAGGACTGAATAGCTCCTTTTCTTGTTTTTTAATTAAATTTTTATTATTCTTAAGTAGTTGTACAAAGGAGTTTTATTCAACCAGCTCATTTATAAGTGCAATGCATTTTTTTTTCTTGTCAGATGTGGGGTTTGAACTCTGGGCCTGGGTGCTGTCCCCCAGCTCTTCAGCTCAAGGAAAGTACTCTACCACTTGAGCTAGAGCACCAATTCTGGTTTTCTGGTGGTTAACTGGAGATAAGAGTCTCATGGGCTTTCTTGCCTGGGCTGTCTTTGAACTGCAGTCCTCAGATCTCAGCCTCCTGAGTAGCTAGGATTACAGGCGTGGGCCACAGGTACTAGGCACTGCAGTGTATCTTGGGCAGATGGTTTCTTTTGTTGGTCGTGGGGCTTGAACTTAGGGCCAAGGTGCTGTCCCTAAGCTTTTGCGCTCAAGGTTAGTTCTCTATCACCTTAAGCCAAAGCATTACTTCCAGTTTTCTGGTGGTTAATTGGAGGTAAGAGTCTCATGGACTTTTCCTGGCTAAGCTGGCTTCCAATCATAATCCTCAGATCTCAGCTGAGTAGCTAGGATTCCAGGTGTGAGCCACCAGTGCCCCACTTGCAAATGGTTTGTTTTCAAAGTTCAAAATTACCATAGCAGGGGAAGTTTCCTATGAGCCTCCCTGCCCCAGATACTTCAGGAGCAAGGAGCTGCAATAAGCCTAGAATGAAGCTGTGAACACCCCTGGCAGGGTCGCTCTGCTATCCCCCCCACACGCACATCTTGTGGGACTGGAGAAGGGCAGGGTCTCTTCTGTCTTGGTGCTTCTTTGGGTGAGTGACTGTAAAACCACTGCCTTGGGAGCTATTTTGGGGTTCCCTAGCAGGAGTGGGTGTCAGGTGCTCACCCAGTGTCCACTCTCAGCCCAGTTGCAGGACCACAAAGGGACCAGAAAAAGAATACAGAGACAATAAGCAGAGCACACATCTGCTGTGCAAATGTTTGTTTCTACGACCATGAAGGTGAGCCCGTACCTTTCTTTAATGAGCTGGTAAAGGTTTTCCTTCATGTACTCAAAGATGAAATAAAGGTGGTCGTTCTCCCTGATGACCTCTTTTAACTTTACCACATTGGCGTGGTTGAGCTTCTTTAAAGACTGGAAAGGCAAGAAAGAAAAAGAAAGCCAAAAAATAATAATAATAAAACAAAATTAGAGAAAATCTGTAGGCAACAAGAGTGATTCTAATCATAGCTGAGAAGAAATATCTTATTTTAGAAGGGCTGGCATGCCACCCATTATATTTTATGGACACTGTAACAAACAGTATTTCTCTCTAATCAACAGTAACTTTATCTAGAAAAACAATTCTGATGAGCTGAACAGGAAAGCAAGCATTTGACTACCAAGGAGAGCTCCGGGTGCACCCCGGAGGCGCAGCCTCCAGATCTTGGAGTTCAGCTGGAAGTAGCCAGAAGGAAACCAAGCCCCTGATCTTTCTAGCACTGATGTACGAAGCTACTTTTGGATGACATCACCAGCTGAACAGGAAATTGCTCAAATTAGCCAGCAGACTAATCAATCACATGGTTCTCTTGACCTTTGTCACACCTGGTGTTTAGTAGATGTTAGACATTCCTTGTTATGATGTGCGTTTAAATCACCCAGGAGGAAAGGAGATATAGGACTACAAAGACCCTACTGGGAAATGAGAGATTTCTTTTTGCTTGTAAGGATCATAAAGACAAAGATATTAGGAGACAGACCAGAAACCAGAGGTGGTTCAGGACGTTTGGTGACTCACTTGCATAACTGCACAGTGGCTCGGGCAGTGGGCCCACTTCCTGCGTGTGTCACTCAACCATCAACCTGCCAAAGGCGAGGAAACACCCCTGTCTTCGGGAACAGGAGTCCTGTTCAGGTATAAAGCTGTGTGCTGGGTGACAGCTGGGTGCAATGGCTGCAACTTGCTCACAGGCCAATGAGGACTTGATAGCCAGTCCCCGAGAGAGCCAAGGGTCATGGAAGCTAGGAGAGTGAACCCTGTACTTCCAAAAGCCTTTTTCTCATCGAGCTGGGAGTCCAGCCATCGTGAACTGGAAAGCCTTCTCATTTTTGAATTTCATTACAAAGGACATTGCTTTCTGAACATAAAATAAGTTTAAGGATGGAAATGTTAAAATGGGCACCTAAATGGGAAGGGACATCTTCCAGAGATATATTTCCTAAACGAACCATCTTGAAGGTTCCAAAGGAGGGTGGGAGACAAGTAACTTGTACTGGAGAAGATAAGCATGAGCAGCGCACTGGAGGACAGCAGTGTGACCCAGGGCGTCAGCGGGCATGGATGAAAGCCCAGGAGAATATTATGAACGGTGCCCTCCTCCACGACTGATCAACAACCTGCGACCTACTAGGTTCCAAGGACATCCTGGGCACAAGATACTGTCTGCTCTTAAGAAGAAACAAACCAACCAAGAGCACAGGACAACGAATTCAAAATGCCTGCACCAGAACCAGGAAGATCAGATGGTGTACCAAAGGCGAGACAGAAACAAGCAACATCGGGGATACTTCAGGGTGGAGTCATCTGTGAGCACCAAGTGGTCAGTGTACCAAGAATCTAGGGGAGGAAGAGGTAATGGGAAAGAAGTTTGTTCGAGGTAAGGTGTGGAAGGAGGGGAACGCAGACACTAGGTCTAAGCCACAGAGAGCAAGATTCACCCCAGTTTGGCTCTGAAAGGAGCTTACCAGGGAAGCCTCTGCTGGAGAGGGGAGCTGAGGACAAACTGTCATGCAGGGCACAGTTGGTGCAGGTATTCGCGTGATGCAGGACACAGTGCATGTATGGGAGTCATACAGGGCATTTATACTGGGCAAATATCCATGTAACACAGGGTGTATTCCTACCGAGTTCCTTTGGAAAATGTGCGCTTCAGTGGAAATACGGAGGAAAATGGCTGATTTGATATGGCATGCAGGGACGTGGCATGGATGAGAGGGTTATAAAAAACAAGGTCAAAAAAAAAAACAAGGTCAAGAGAAGCAAGTGGGAGATGGAGAAAGAGTAGAGAAGTGAACGCTGTTCTGAGAAAAGGAGACTGATGAACACATTCAAAGAGAAGAAGGCAGTAGAAAGCAAGAGGTTAAAGATAGGGCAAAGAGGGAAAGTTACTAGAGCAACGATCTTAAGATATCAGAAGTTAAGGTGGCTTCATATAAAGGAAAATGAACAAGGTACACTGAGGGAATGGTAGCTTGAGGAGAGATGGGGGAGACGGTCAGTATTTACTGTACTCATAAACTGAGATGTTAAATGGGAGAATTTAAGAATCATTTTTTTAAAAAAGCAGAGAGACAGCAGGCGGGACAGGATCCAGGCTCAGGCACCCTGCTCTCATGATGATGGCTGGAATTGCACAGCACTTCAAACAATAATGTCAGACAGGTGCCAGTGGCTCCTGACTGTAATCCCAGCTACTTAGGAGGCGGAGATCTGAGGCTCATGGTTTGAAGCCAGCGTGGACTGGAAAGTCCATGAGATTCTTATCTCTGATGAAACACCAAAATGCTGGAAGTAGAGCTGTGGCTCAAGTGCTAGAGAGCCAGCCTGGAGAAAGAGCGTTGAGGGACAATCCCTGGACCCTGAAGATAAGCCCTAGGACCAGCACAAAAAATATAAAATAAGAAGTCAAGTGAAGTCAAGAACTCTTTTTACATACAAGCCAAGAACATTTTCCATTATTTATGCCACAAAAAAGCAGAAACGACAAAAAAACAACAACAACAAACAACCCACACTTTCGGATCATCCTGTATTTCTGGATCTCTCAGAGCTTCTTTAGTTTAGGCAAGATGTTGTCACACTGTGAACCACAGGTGAAATCCAGTACCGCACCTAAAATCCAGACCACTATTGTATGGTCCATAAGGTGAGAAGAGTTTTTGCAGAGAAGCGATCAGCCTGAGGAGGGCACTAGCTCTGAACCTGAATGAAAGTTCACGTGGTATCTGTGTCCTACCCTCTCAAGGGGTGTCACTGTTTTCACCAGAAAACTTGCAATATAAAAAAAGTTACACACAAAATTATTATTATGTTTTATATTTCCTAAATTTAAATACTGTGGCAATTTGTTTTTTTTTTTTTTTTTTTACTATTGTTATATATGTACCCGTGAAACAGCCTACATGTGACTCTTTGGTTCATCAAGTCTAAAAGATTTACTCCTTGGTCTCTTTTCCCACGTAGAGGAAAAGAAGTAAAGAAGTCAGTCTACTCTGACAAAAAGGAGAGAAGAAGGAACAGAAGAAGGCGCGGGGACCCAAGACCCTAGTCTGCAGCTGAGTCGAGAATAGAGCCGTGGTAGCCAATGCTCATCAGAGCAAACCGTCACCGAGAACACAGTACAAGCTCCCCAGGTACTGCCATTATATTTATCTAGGAAAAACACCATACATCAATATGCCTCTACAGGAATGGTCACAACCATATAGGCAACAATTATTCACTAACAATATACTTACTTATATCGATAGTGAGATATACTTAAACTCAGATATAAGAAACCGACGTAAGATAAAAAGCTTTCTATGAGCAGTGAATTCGCCTACACCGTATCAGGTATCTTCCACTTTCAATTTCAGCATTATGAAAAACATACACATGGAATAACCATCTCAACTATGAATATACCCACAAAGCTATTTTCATCAGCCAAATATAAAGTGTTCCCTAGTATATTAATAAATACCTTAACCTCCCGAAGGTTCATGCACTCTTCCCAGGAATAAAACTTTCTTTTCATTCTAGAAGAGGAGAAAGAGAGAATCAGCATGCGTACTACCAGTATTAGGCTAAAGTTTCTCCCTCAGGTTTTGTCTGGATGGGTGAATACACCTCCATATTCCCAGTTGCCTAGTAGAACTCCCTGTGTCAGTGTAGATCCTCCAAGTATGGCAGACACTGAGCTATGTGCTTATGACCAATTTGAATGGGGCTGGTCCAACAGAACTAAATCCTGATTGTAAGTGAATTGCAACTTAAGCCACCTGTGGTACTTGCTACTCTTTGGAGTGGCACTATCCTGGACTCCATTGCTCAGGAGAGAGCAAAGCATGGTCCTAGTGTCAACAGTGCCTATAATCTGTTTGTATATAGCCCACGAGACAAGGATGACACGCGTACTTTTAAGTAACTGGGGAATCGGAAGATAACTCCTATGCGCTGATACGTGAAAGCTCTGGGTCTCCACAGATGAGGACTTGGCCACAGGTGATTGCTGACTCTCCCGGGCCTCCATGCTGGTTCCGGACACACCCTAACCTCTGTCTCCTCGGCTCACTCTAACACGTATTCCTGCTTGAAAGCTCCGTTCCTGTGATCATGCTCCAAATATTGCTTAGCCCTCCTGTGTGGTGGGCACATAGGACACGAAGTCAAAAGATGAGAAAGAATGTCCCTCGTGGAATGGACATTATAGAAGGAAAGTAGAAAAGATGCCAGTGCTACAACAGGCTTGGAGGAGCCTAATGTACCCCACGCTTTGGGAAGATGAAGAGGTATTTCTAACACTCTAATGGAGACGAGTTTCAACCCAGATCTGAAGGCGCAGTAGAACTGAGCCGGGCAGGAGAGGTAGAGGCCATCACAGGGAAGATGTGAGCAGAAGGTGTCTGGTGAGGTTCAGAAGCTAAGAGGCCAGAGAATAAAGCAAGGAGACAAGACTGAAGGAAGCAAGCAGGGTTCAAAGGATGCAGCAATGTGTAGGTCACATCTAAAATGTGGGCCTTGATCCTAAAACTAACAGTTATTAAAAATTAACCATCTGGCTGAGCATGTGGCCAGATGGCAGAAAGCTCACCCAACAAGGTCCAGTGTTTGTTAGCAAACTTTAGTACCAACAAGACAATCAAACAAGGGCTGGGGAGGTGGCTCATTGGTAGAGTGCTTGTCTTGCATGCATTGAGGCCCTGGGTTCAATTCCCTAACACCATATAAACAGAAAAAGCCAGAAGTGGTTCTGTGGTTCAAGTGATAGAGCACTAGCCTTGAGCTGAAGAACTGAGAGACCATGCCCAGGCCCAGAGTTCAAGATCCACAACCAACCAAAAAAAAAAAAAAAAGACAAACAAATGAGTGAATGAATGAATGAACGAATGAGTAAATGGTCAATGGCTTCAAGCCATTGAAAGCTATCTTAGCTGGACTCTCCTAAATGCAGAGGCAAGGAGTCCACTTGGGGAGTAGTTTTGGAAAGCCAGGGCAAAGAGGAGAGATGCCTGGAGAGCCCAGTAAAAAGACAGGCCCACCGGCACCAGTGGCTCATGCCCAGAATCCTAGCTACTTGGGAGGCTGAGAACTGAGGATTCCAAGCCAGACAACATTTCCAATTAATAAGCAGCAAAAAACTGGAAGGAGGCATGGCCTAGGTGGTACAGCTCCAATTGCAAGCAAAAAAAAAAATCCAAGTGAGAGCTTGAGGTCTTGAGTTCAAGCACCAGTATGTGCAAACACACATGCATGCGTGTGCATTCACTGATGGGCATATACACACACATGTATACACACACACACATACACGCCAATCTCTCCGGTCTGCAATGAAGAGGAATGACTGGAAGCCAGAGGCCCTGCAGAAGAGCTAGCAGCCAGTGGTGAGCACCCAGAGCTGAATGGAGAAGAAGAGGCCAACAGTAGAGGAACAGGACTAGACGCCCTAAGGTGAGTCAGAAGAGGCAGGGAGCCAGCTGACTCTCAGGTTTTGAGGACAAATGTCACTCATCAAGATAAGGAACAGTGAGGAGAACAGAATTTGGGGAACAGTGAAGAGTATGCATGAGTTGAATTTGGGGTATGATGAAGGTCACATGTTTGCAGGACTAGGAAGACAATCGGAGATGGACATAGTGGGCAGACTTCTAGCCAGCAGACCCAGCAATATGCCAGGGTGCCATTGCTGTGGTTGTTTCACAGACGCCAAAGACTCAGCTTCCACTTCAGATTTCTCAGTGCCCATGACTTGAGGTGGGAGGGAGTGAGGAGCACACAGCCACAGGGGGGCCGGGGCCTTCAGGGTGCACTGGCAACTAACTGTGGCCTATGGTGGTGTGAGCTTGGAGGCAGACCTGTCCAGCCATCAGCGAGACCCCACACTGGCCCTGATTGTAGCCGCATTAGAGACCCTCACAAGAGACCCCCCAGCTAAGCAGTGACCGCGAGGTGAATGTATGAACTCTGGCTGTTCCAGGACCGTGAGCTGACAGGGGCAGGAGAAACTATCTTGACCACAGGTGGATGGCATGGACTCCCGAGCGTGAACGGGGAATCTTACTTCTTAATGGCGATCAGCTCCCCGGACTCCACACTTTTTCCCAGCAGGACAGAACCATAAGTCCCGTCCCCAAGCTGCTTGATGACTGTGTATCTGTTCATGGCCACCAGATGCTCATCCCAGGGCCCAGGCGGTCCCGGCCCGCGGCCTAGCAGGCCTCCCCAGAATGTAACCAGATTTTCCGGTGGCAGCACCAATGCCAGGTGTTCAACAGGAGGTGACTGGCTCCCACAGACATATTTTCAAAAGGCAGTCTTCTGCCTGCAGAGAAATATGAAAGATGAGGACACATGCTAGTAATGGACATTTCAAGTGTGTGTGTGTGTGTGTGTGTGTGTGTGTGTGTGTGTTTATATCCAAATCAGGGCTTGGTGATGAATTACAAACTTCCCAGCCTTGGCCCTGTTTGTATAAATAAAGTTTTATTATTGGGACCCAGGCAAACTCACACCCCTGAGAATATCTATAACTATAGTAGCAAAGTTGAATGTCCATGATACTGTAGGGCATGAAAGTCTAAACTATTTTTACTCTGGCTTTTTACACAAACAAGTTTGTCAGTCTCAGGTCTAAATAATGCTCTTTTCAGATTCAAGTAAGTATCTTTACGAAGTTAAAGACACCATGTTTGAAAAGTAATAAAATGAATCAGCTCTCATTCAATGTTTTCTGCTGATTGGTCAAGCTGGGAAAACTATGTGATAACCAGAGTTGGTGAAAATGGCAAGCTGAGCTAAATATACCAGGTTCTGTACCCTAAGGCATAGTTAACAGCATAATCTCACAAAAGCCACAAAACGTTCAAAGTAATCTCTCCAAAAAGAGGCCTACGTGTGCTCCATGAATTCTTCATGGCCAAGTGCTAACAGTGTGATTGTTACTTCTAGACAAGCAAAAGCTAAACAAACAAAAAAGAATAACTCAAGGCATGAAAGCAAGCACAAGAACCCAAGTTCAAACCCTGGCACTGCCAAAAATATGCATGGAATATATTTACCTAAAATATAGCTCAGCCTTGTTTACCCAAATGTGCTCAAAATACTTATATTAGCCTACAGTGAAGCAAAATCATCTGACACAAGCCCATTTTGTGGAAGGAAGGAAGGGAGGGAGGGAAGGAGGGAGGGAGGGAAGGAGGGAAGGAGGGAGGGAGGGAGGGATCTTTGATTTGTCAAAACTGTTCTAACTAATAGATTGGATCCTTTATTTTAAAAGAAAAAAGTATTCTTTGTTCTAGAGACAATGGCAGCTCAGTTTTTGTTTTTCTAATCTAGAGAACATGACCTCATTTGCCTTTTGCAACTCAATCATTAAATAATCTAGAATATTTTTCATGTCTAACCCAAAGCTGCATATTCTAGCTTCAGCTAGTTCCTTCATATTTAGTCTTCCATGGTTCCTATAGAGGAACCATATCATAAAAATGTGTACACACATGAAATTATTCGTCAAGTGTGTGTCTCAGCTCTAATTGCACAACTGCTCCTTGCAGGATCCATTTTCCATTCCTTTAATTGTCTGGCACTCATCTCAGATCTCCAGACTTCTCAAGCTCCTTGACGAATTATGGTGAGTAAAACTTAGAAATGACCTATGCTGCAGTGGCATACAGACCTCACTTATTTTTATTGAAAGGGCGTTATATTGCTGATTCAGATCTGGCAATTATTACTAGTTGATGCCTTTTCTTGGATAGCTAATGCCCTACTGTTTCCTCACCCAATTAAATTATATCACTGAAGCAATGCTGGCCTAGATTATTATTGAGAAAACTATTTGGGAAAGAATTAAGAGCTACTGAAATTGAGATAGATTGGGTCATTCAGAACATTATCATGCTAACGTTCCTCCTTGTTATACTTCTTCATATTACCAGGGAATGAATTCAGTTCTGGTCATGATATCATGGTAGTTATTTCCTAATATATTGTTATTTTAGGAAATTACCTAACAACCGCATAAGAGATCAGACTAGGGCCTTTGCCCGCATTCATGTCAGGTTGGTGGTGTAGGTGATTCCAGTTTTACTCAGATGCTCCACATGGAGCAGGTTAGTTTACAGGACTCTGACTCTTTTCGGGATTCCCTACCTCAGGCATGGCAGTACTCGAGCCCTACTTATGAACTAGGATAAATCTAAGCCACGCAAAGAAATCACAAATAATTTAGTGGTGGAATTATGGCCACAATGTGGGACACCAAAATGGGAGTCAGGCCAGAGGGTAGACAAAGGCTGAGAGAAGAAATCTATTCTTTGACAGACAGCCAACAAAGGAGCAGATCCGTGCTTCTGCCTTGAGCATGGTTGGGTAAAGCTACAACGTCTAGGGTCAGGAAAGCTCCCAGAACTCTGGGCCATGAGCTCTGAGGGTGAGAACCCATCCACAGAGGAGGCTGGACCAGGAAGAAAGAGGCTTTGTATCCTCAGCGGGGCTGCTACATGATCTCCGAAAACATGTGCCTGGGATGCCTTCCCAGATGACCTCACAGAAGGCCTCCATGGCTGGAGTCACACTAGTGTCCCACGAACAGCTGGATGCGTCCTGGATATGGCAAACCCAGGAAATTCCATCCACATCCCTCGCCATAGATCCGCTCTTACTGGGTGAGCTTCCCATCACTGTGACAAAATACCTGACACAAACCAACTTAGAGTTGGGAAGGTGGACTCTGGCTCATGTTGTCAGGGGGTCTGGCCCCTGACCAGCTAACTCACAAGTAAGGAAGGGGACCCTACAGCATTTACTCTGGTACCGGCCCCTTCCCTGTGGTGAGCAATGCCTGCTCCCCCAATGGCCCCCACCCCACCCCCAGCTTCACCCTTTGAATCAGAGGATACAAACCCCACCTCCTCCAGCTTTCCTGTCCTCACCCCTCATCTCCCCTAGCAAACTGCGGGTCTTCAAACACTGTCTGAATGACCCAAATTTGAAGTGTGGTCTTTGCCATTTATTTTTGGTACTCTTTGGGAAAGAACCTCCAACCCCTCTTGATGATGCTATTTCTTCACCTTCAAAGTCAAGTCAGGAAATGCTTTGAGCTGACCAGAAATGTTTTGATGTTCTAACATGGACAGACAGTAAACACCACCGAACAGCCGGAGCGGGCAGGCCCCAGGGGCCTCAAACCCAGAAAGGCCCTGCCAAGCCAAGTCTGGGCCTTTGAATACGCCTGTGCCCAACCCACAAAAACAGGCAGCATTGTCTCTCTTTTGTCCAAAGAGCTCTAGCAAATCTCAGAAAGAAACATTACGATTCTCCTGGCTTGGTAACCTTGGGGAAAACCTTCCTGTGCTCAGTCCTGTTCCCTTCCCTTGGCCTCAGTCCTGGGTGGAGGGAGAGAACAGCACAGCTGCTTGTGACCAGCAATTCGCACTGGCATCCTGCTGTTTTACAGCCTGGGAGCCAGGCTGGGACAGGGCCTTCTGTAATCCATTCTTTCCTAAATCATATATTTGTTGTACAAGGGAGCGTTTCATTATAACACTGACGCACAGAAACAATGCATCCTTATCACCGATCATACTTCCTCTACCTCCTTCCTTCTTCTTAAAAGTCTCAAAGAAAAAAAAAAAAGAAAGAGAAAACTTGGGAAGTGGCCCTGTAGCTAAAGTGGTAGAGGGCTCGCCTTGAGCTGAAGAACTGAGGGACAGTGCTCAGGCCCAGAGCTCAAGCCCCACGACTGACAAAAAAAAAAAACTCTCAACATTCTGTTGTTAGGTGTGTGTGCGTGTATACAAGTGTGTGTGTATACCAGTACTAGGGCTTGAACTCAGGGTCTGGGCACTGTCCCTTAGCGTTCTCAATCAAGGCTACCACTTGAGCCACAGCTCTACTTCTGGTTTTGTGGGAGTTAATTAGAGATCAGAGTTGACTTTCCTGCCAGGGCTGGCTTCTGTGAGCGCCCTGAAAGCTGAGCTGTGGAGTTTGGAATGCCTTGTCCTAACACACTCTCAAAATGCTGGGAGTGGGGCTGGGAAGGTGGCTCAGTGGTAGAGCGCTTGCCTGGCATGCCTGAGGCCCTGGGTTCGATTCCTCAGCACCACATAAGCAAAAAAGAAAAAAGGCCGGAAGTGGTGCTGTGGCTCAAGTGGTAGAGCGTTAGCCTTAAGTTGAACAGCTGAGGGACAGCGCCCAGGCCCAGAGTTCAGGCCCCACGACCGGACCCAAAAAAAAAAAAAAAAATGCTGGGAGTTTGCTGAAAAGGTCAATCCGTCCTGGCTTGATGGGAATTCAGATGTCTATCCTGGACATGGGTTAATTCCACCCCCAACTTTCTGGGAGCCTGGGGATCAACAAAAGCCAATGGGAATTATGAGTCATTTACTGCTCACCTCTACTTCCTAAGATAAGCAAGTCATTTATCACTTGAATAAGATTGTGTCACATGAGCAGCGCTGTGACTTCAAGGATAATGATAGCTCACTTTCTGCATGTATACCCTGTACCCTACTCAATAAATACCTTGTAAGAGGGACCTGGGGCACCCGAAGCTGGCAGAAGGCTTTAGGCCCCTGATGCCCCAAACCTCAATTCCACAGTCCTATCTCCATTACCGCCTTGTCCCAGGTCGCAGCGGATTGCAGCCGACTTCCAACCACAATCCTCAGATCTCAGCCTTCAGAGTGACTAGGATTACAGCTGTGAGACACTGGCTCCGGGCTTTATTACTCCATTTTCATACATGCAAATAAACTGATAAGCTCCATAGCTCATCCTTCATTTCAAAACCAATGAAGTTAAGTGCTATAATATGTATTTCTTTGAAAATGGGAAGCACACAATTATGTGTGGCTTAGACCCATCTGCCCTACTCAGACCTTAGGAAAAGTATACTGCCCCTAGTTTGCCACTTTATGCAGAAAAGTCTCACACCCATCTGTTCCCATAGGAAATCTGGAATACCAGCAAATCACTAAACGACCCTCATGGTGCTTCTGAATTTCATTATACCTTTACAGGCTTATAATTATACTTCGTATCCTAGATTCGAATGTGTCATAACTTGACAAGAATAAGTCAATATTGCTCATCTCTTTTAAAAGTGCACTAAAAATAGCGAGTGCAGCCGCTGTGTTTCTCTTGGGCTCAGTTCCTCTGTCCATATACATTTTTAGCAAACAAATCTTTTAAGCATTTTGCCTCTGGGAAAATCTTCTTTTTCTGCATAGGGAAGAA